AAATGGAAAGTAAATGTTTGTGGTTGGTGTATTCATCGTACCATCTGCTGAATTTATCTTTTTTCTCATCTGACAGTCTGTGCTGCGCGGACAGCATTGTATTCGCGCGGTATTTCACCAAGCAGATAGTTTTTAATACTCTTTGAAATTCCTCCTTCAATCAACCTATCTAGAATGTCAATATATATTTATATTTGCCAAATTTTCCTATACCCAAAGAAATCCCGTAATGAAAAATTTCAAAACCAAAAACAAATCCCTTTATCATCTCGGTAACTCCAACAACGGCGACGTCCATGAAAACGTCGCTGAAAAATAGACCTCGCATTCTTTTACTTTTTCTCGCGATTATTCCTAGGGGCCCAGTCATATAAAAGAAGGGAATTTAGTTTGGAGCTAAAGAGAAGGGACCGCGCCCGAGTTCTGACAGAGATGGTAGAATATATCGCCTCGCCTTTCCCGTTCCCAAGTAACCTTAAAATTCGGTCATTCCACGTCGTAATTGTGTAGGGACTGCAAAGAAATGTACAAAAAAGTGAGATGCAGGTGCAGAGTTGTTGTTTTGTTCATTATTGCTTTTTTGACGTTCCCGTTCCCGTCGCAGCATAGTTTCGTAAGGTCCCTAATTACCAGCGCATGCTAGTACGCAGGCTAAGCCAATCAGCGCCCGCTTTATAATTGCTGATTGCTTTAGTTGAAATACAACAACAACAACAATAATAATAATAATAATAATAATAATAATAATAGTCAGAAACGCATATAGCGTGTAAAACATTTATAGCTCTAGCTTGCAAACAACCGTCCCACGCTTTTGAACTCCATTCATTCCAGATAAATGAACGTTGGAGATAATTGGTATTTTCTATAATAATTTTTTCCTGCCTTATGACTACAATAGTGCAATTAGTGGATAGCTTAAAGTGAGATTTAAAACGTACCTAGCCTGCCGGCGGTGTTACACTCCCGATGAGCACAGGTACTCGGTACCGGTGTATTTGGTACTTGTACTACACTCGCCTAAAACCAGTTCTCCATATTTGCAAACTGTAAATATCGTCGTACAGTAGCGAGTAGACGTTTAATAGCTTAGACCGAGAGGGCACTATCGAAAAATGGTGTTGCAAGCCCAAGATCAGACGATACCAGGATTTTCTAACTCGTGCTCTATTACATGTAAGTATAAGCTCTTTGCACACAATAGACTGCGAGCAGTCTCTCTTTTGTTCGAGAATCTGTAAGCGAGAGTATTTGAGCAGCCAAGTCGCGCGAGTTGCGAGGGCATGAGTTGTGACGGCGTTATGCACGTATTCTAGTCGTATTTCTCGCACTGTTTTTGTTTTGTTTTCCTAAAACAAGAAATCTAAAGTGAAGGTAAAGTTGCAACGACGTGTGCCGAGTTACATAAAATCCAGCATAAATCTATTCAAGTTGTCGCTGAAGGAATCGGGCTGGAAAACTATTTAATAAGAAATGTAGCTGCTCTTCGCAACTTTCAATGCAATGTTTGCCTGAGAAAAATTAAAACACTTTGCCGTCACTCTTTGAATTTCTATTAGGATGAAGTGGATCCAGTGGAGTACACAAAAGAACGCTAGTAGCGGGGAAAGAAGAGCTGAACTTTGAAGATCCTCAAGAAGGCAGCAATTCATTATTAAAGTAAGTTCCTGGCGGTTTTATAACCAGCAAGAAGTCCTCATCAAAAAAATCGCTAAGGGTTATAGATCACTCCGTCTTCAACAACCTTGCCGTTGATAACGCGTGTCAAAAAGCAGATAACAAACACACAGGTAACATGATTTTTCCTTTCTTTCTTCTAGTGAGTAAAATCGACAAGCCGTTGGGAGATGATACTTATCAAAGCCAGTCAGTAAAACTTATCTGCTGACAGGCCTTTTCCTTCATACGGTTCTTTAACGGTCTTTTTCTATTCCCCTTTCAAGCTGAAATTTTTGATGCCTTCATCAATTCCAACGATGAATTCCCGTAGACGCTTCACTAACAACATACAGTGTGCTTAGTTACTCAAATTGCGTGATGTTGTTTTCGACCAATCGGGAAAAAGGAATTAAGTCGAAGATTGACACTTGATTAATTCTGACCAATCACTATTTTCCCGCTCAGAATCTGAGCGTGAAAAATGGAGAAAACAATGGTCTCCTTGCAGGCGTTCCTTTCTTTTCTTCCTCGCGCTCCCAAATTCCCCCTTCCCCTTTTAACGCTTGCCAAGCAGGTTACCCGATAACTCGAGCCCTTGCTAACTCAGACCTCGGGGTATAAAAGTGAACCAAAATCGATTTCCCTTGAGCTTTCTTCATACATTTTCTGTAATCTTACTCTCGGTACGGTACGGAAACTCGAACATCTCGCTAACTCGAAGGATTCTTTGTTTCCCTTCAATTAATTTCTACATTATATTTTGAGCGCGCGACAAGTAGATACAGTGTACGCATAGTACTGCAATCCGAAACATTGAATTTCCCCGGTTTCATAGATACATGTAGTTTTTTTGTGGAGGCTGACGAATGCTCTACTTTAGGCTTTGTTTTGTTACGTTACGTTACGAAGCAAATGCAAGATATCTCCACAAAATAGGTTGGGGTTGCATTAGGACTATTCCTCTGGACAACCTCCATATTAGTACGTACTTAAGAGTGAATGTCCACTAACGACGAGCAAGGGGTGGCACATGATGAAAAATCAAATTTTTTCATTTTTTGTCTTAAGATACCGTATGGTGGTCCGAGAAACGTGGTAGTGTTTTTTTTATTGAAATGTTCTTTTGAACGCGAAAAAATTAATAAAAGCCTGTTTCTGCCCCACATGTCGTGAAAATATGCGAAAAAAACGTGTTTAACACCTTCTAGTAAACTTCGTCCTGTTTAATTCGCGTCAAAGGGAGACTCTCAGAAAAGGTCAAAAAAGATATTTTGAATGTTTGCAAGTTATTTGAGTACAGTTTGAAGCCTGTGGATTTATTTTTAAGGTCGAGGTGATCATCTGAAATTCACCGAAATTCGCTTGCCTAAAATTCTAAATTTGATGCCCTTTTTCAAAAGAAAGTTTCATTGCCCGGTAAAGCACCGAATCACTTGAAACTAAGAATTCTCAAGAGAGAAAATGAGGTACTAAAATGTGATGTAATTTTTTTCTGCGGGCTTTCTATCAGCGCCGTGTGCCAGTGCTCTAAGAATCTCGAAAATCACAAACTTATAACATGTCAACATCTGGAAACCGTAAACAGACGCGCCGAACAAATTTCCGAAACTTGCAGATTTTGTATTGTTTTTCTCGTTTTTTCGATGAAAAACAAAGCAGATATAGGTCTTTCAGCCTAGTTTGAGTAAGGAATATCAGAACACCAGGCTCTGAACGAAACAGTGCTACTAGTGCTATCCCTAAACGTCTAAATTTACACCTACCCGATCTTATCTCTTGTTGACTCAGCTAATCAAATTCACACCATTGCTAATGGAAACTAAAGTGCAAGCTTTTGGCTGCGGTAATTTATTTCTCAGGTGAGAAAAAGAAAAATATCTATGGAATATGTTCCTTAGTCTACAAAGTCATGTCAGCGAATGAACTCTTGTCGAATTTTGACCAAATTTGTCCGTCACGCAAAGGATTTCCTTAAGCTCGCCTAAAAAGGTTTTGTCACGCGATTACCAAGGAGGGCTAAAAACAAAGCAAACCAAAACAAAACATCCACCGAAAGATTACGAAGTCTGAAAAAAAGTATTGTAATGCCCCTTTTTAAAGGTGGGCGGCACATATATGAGGCTGTTTTATACGAAAAGGGAGGAGGCGTTTGCGCCTCTGACAAACGATATGAAGGAGCAGTTGTTGTTCCGCTATCTTCATGTCAAAAAGATATTTTAGGTCACACGCGCAGTGTTGGAGTTAGCGATATCAGCTCTGAAGTTGAGCTTATTTTAGCGCGCGCATCAATATTTTCTCCTCCGCGCGACATTTCGTCTTGGACCATTTGCCCATCCCATCGCTCTTCCCTGGGCATTGGCTGGCGCCGAGGTGCTCATCGATGCCGAGTACCACCAGGGCTATCAAAGCATGCTTCGAGAGGAAAAACGAGAAAGGCGGACCGTGGAATAAGCAAGTCGGAATCCAAAGCTATTTTAAAACAAACAGCATGGTGTTTTTGTCCCGGTAGGCTCTGGTAAGTACACTTTTCGTGCTTACTTCTCTGTATTTTAATTAGCCGGCGGATGTAATCAGTGTACCAGACCGTAGTAGAAAAACCTTGCTAGCCTTGCGAACAAAAGTGACCGGTGATTTGTTTCATTCCGTTGCATAGGTATATGCCGTGACTGCAGGCCGACTATTGATGTTAAAGAAAAAACATTGGAAGATGTGCCAAAAACTACTCTGAACGTCGCAGACATTAGTGAGGGCATCGGAAAAATTATCTTGGTAAGTTTGATCATTTTGATGACTTGCATAATTCTGGCCCTTAAAGCATTTATTAAATTAACTAAATTAGGCGCCTTTTTGTTTAATTATGCTTTGTCGCTCTTTATAAGAGAAAGTCAAGTTTGCTTCACGCAATTAATTACTGTGAATAAAAATATGTCGTAGGGATCCGTTTCGTTAGGACTAATATTATCCACCTTGTCCCCTCCTAAAAAATAGGGAAAGCCTTTAGAAACAAGATAGTAAGATTACAGAAACACCGATGAGAATGTACTTTAAGACACTATTTTCGTTTATAGAAAAAGGATTCCCTACCAGTGCACAGCACTCCCATTACACCAGGAGGGAGTTTTTATCTTCCCCCGTGCGAAGACACATTCAGCGACGTCAGTTTCGACGATGTACAAGTCTCTCAGAATAGGCCTCTAGATGCTTTGAATACATATTTGGTTTCCAGAGATGTTAGTCCCGTTAGGTCTCGGCTACAAACTTCGTGGGAAAAGGCAAGTGGACGGACAAAGCGCTACTATACACGGAAAGCTAGTCAAGGTGTGGCAGCTTTAGTACAAGATATGACACCACATAAAACCGGCTCCTTGTTCAGCGCACTGTGTTCTTCAGACGCGCTGCGCCGCCAGCTCTCTGATGAGGAAGATTCAGATCAGGACAACATGGACGTGACGCTAATGGAGGCACTTGCCGAATGTTACCAAGCTGCTAGTCGCTGGGAGACGCGCCGCCAGATACTTTCCATCATGGCAGATAAGGTGCGTTACAAAAGACTCCTCAAGTTTATCCCTGGTCTGACCAAATATCGCTTCACAGAAGCCAAACGTCACTGTTTGACCTATGGAAGAGGAGCTCCAGTACTGTCAGTAAGAGCACCTAGGACAGACGTTACCTTCTCACAGATAGAACATTTTACCGCGTTCATAACAAGCTCGCAAATTGTACAAGATCTGCCATTCGGAGAAAGGTCCATAACACTTAGCAACAAAGAGACCATTAAGATCCCAAACGTTATCAGAATGATGATTCCTGAAAGGGTGGTAAAACAGTACCTGGCCTACTGCGACGAGTCTGGTTTTAAGCCTCTTAGCCACAGTACTCTTTTGCGTATCCTAGCTGTCTGTCCTGCCTCTATTCGAAAATCACTTCAAGGCCTAGACTACATAAGCTCAGCAGGTGCGCAGGCATTTGAAGACCTGATTGACATTGTAGAAAGACTTGGGGACGTTGGACAAGGCATGGGATGGACCAAGAACCTGCAGACTCACCTGCGAGATCGACGGAAAGCGATACCTCAAAAGTGATTACAAGGTAGGTAAAATACCATCCCTTCACATTTTTGGCCTAAATCTTCATTTCATATTAGTTTTCTTTGCAATGGGCGCCAGAAACTTTTCAAGCGCTGCTTATTGCGTCGGCTTTTGGCGGAAATGTGTCGGCCACCAAGGTAGATGGCACTAGCGGGTAAGGGTAAGGTTTCTTACGCAGAATTACATAATGTGATTGTTTTTTATCAGTTTTGTATCAGTCTGTTTGCGTCTTTTTCCACTTCCAGTTAACATAGTAAAATCCAGTGCAAAATGTTAGATTTTACAACGACAACCGACAGAAATTTAATATCTTGTAGTGCGCTCTCAGTGCTTTATAATTATAGATTATAAATTTGATTTGCGTTATATTAGAACAAAAGACCTTGAGAGAAAAGCCATCAACTACCTCCCACCCCTCCCTCTCCTGTTCGTCCGAGGGTTAAGACCATATAGGCTCGTTTAATAGAAAAAAGCTGAAAAAATGACTCTTTAAGGCCCGGTAGCTCTCCCTAAGTCATTGTAAGTATAAGTCATATCTGTAATATTATATTTTTGGTATAGGTGCATGTGTGTCAAAGCTCTACCGTGGCCGATCATTGTAGATTATTTGCTCTGAGCGACCCAAAAGAGCCTGCCTTCCGGGTTCAGTGCGACCATGAACACAAGGACTCCTGCGATCGTTGTGATCAAGTGGTATCAACCCTCAGCGAGATAGATGCAGCGCTTATCGCCCAGAAAGGCAACATGCTATCCGGAGTCTACGAGGAGCTATCATTCAGCGTCAGGCAAGCGAAGACAAACATCCTTGCCTGGAAGGCTCATATACTGCGCTCTATCAACCAAGATTCTTCCAGAATTGACGTCCTAGAATTGCTTGACGAGTCATCTGTGTTAGTTGTCCAGGACTGGGCCATGAAGTATCTGCCAAGGAAATACCGCGAAAGTCAAACTGATTGGTTCGGTAAACGCGGTATTCCTTGGCATATCAGTGTAGCATTCAGAAAGATTAGCGACCAGTTTCAAATGCTGACCTTTACTCATATCTTCCAGACGTGTAGTCAGGACAGCTGCGCAGTTCTCGCAGTAATGGTAGACGTCATTAAGTAGCTCAAGACCATCATACCAGGCCTGAAGAAAGTCAGCTTCCGCCAAGACAATGCTGGTTGCTATCACTGCGGGACCACCATTGTTTGTGCAAGCACGTTAGGAGCAGAGCTGGGTGTAACCATCAAACGGCTTGATTTCTCCGATCCTCAGGGTGGAAAAGGAGCCTGTGACCGCAAGGCGGCATCCATAAAATCGCATATGCATATTTACCTAAATTCAGGACACGATATCGAGACTCCAGAACAGATGACGGATGCAATTCGATCTTCCGGTGGGGTACCATCACTGAGTGTCATTCTTTGTGACTCCATCACAAGCCGTTCAATGGACTCATACAAGATCGATGGAGTAAGCCTACTCTCGAATATAGAGTTTTCTGAAGAGGGAATCCGTGTATGGGGAGCGTATGGCGTTGGAACCGGAAAGCTGATATCGCAAATACCTGAGGCTCCGTTATCAAACAGGCTACCGTCCTTGGTAGTAGGCCAGGCGAACCCAAGCTCATTCTCATCGGGTGTGAAAAGACGACCACGTGGCGCCCATCCGAGTGGTATCCGCAGCACTGACGATAAGACCGAAACTGAAGAAGAGCACTCAGCATCGCGCGAGGCACTGTTCACGTGTCCTGAGGAAGGTTGTACACAGACATTCCTGAGGCACTCCTCCATGATGCAGCACTTGGATTGTGGAACACACAAGAGCGCTTTAGAGAACGAGACACTCTTCGACAAAGCTGCCCAACAATATGCAGAACAACTCGAGGGGCAAGCCATGGTGGTGCCAGTAGTCAGCACTGTCAGCACACGAGCAGGTCACACAGACAGCCAACCCATGGGCTTGGCACTCAAGCCACGTGCTACACGGAGGACTAGGTTCACGGCAAACCAAAAGTCGTATCTAACTACAAAGTTTAAGCTTGGAGAGCAGACCGGAAGTAAGGCAGATCCTGCAGCTGTTGCGAGATCAATGATGTGTGCAAAGGATGCAACTGGAGATAGATTGTTTTCAAGCGACGAGTTTCTTACAGCAACCCAAATAGCTGGCTTCTTCTCACGCCTTGCTTCAAAGAAAACCCTCGAAAATGACGATTAGGAAGGTGTAGAGGTCGCCGCACATGAGGCCTGTCTAGAAAGTATTGCTAATGAGGCTGCGAGTGAGATTGCGCCTAAACATCCTATTGTCTATGACGCCTATAATCTTTGTGAAATGGTGTCCCAAAAGAAGCTGAATGAATTTTCCATTACAGTTTTAAAGGACATTTGCACTTCCCTTGTTATTGACACTCTGGCATAACGGTTCGACGCAAGAAGCCGTACATCGACAAAATACAATCTCTTTGTCAGGAATGCGCATGTCGACAGTGAGGCGTTCTTGGAACATTCTACTGTCTTGTATCAAGATTTTGTAATTCACAAGCGAAAACTGAAAACGAGTTAGAGACAGAAACGAGTTGAGTTGAGAAAGGATAGGCAACATGTACGAGAGGCAGCAAGTCTTTTATATCGTAGGTCTAGGTTTTGAGTTAAAAAGTTCAAAAATGTTCCGCCAAAGCCCCTTAGCAGATAAGAGACGCCGAAAAACTCTGCAACCCTCTAATGTGTACTCTTTGGTGTATAGTAACTTCATTCCATAAGTTTTTTTTCTTATTTATGTCACTAAAGAATAATGGCGCATTTACATTTCACGTTCCTTATTAGTACAATGCAAGCCGAAAAGGCACATAGAAAGACGTATTTTCACAAATTCGTTTATGGTAGGTGGGGTCTTACTGTCGCCTTTAGGGTTTTGATGGGCTGGTTTTGTGGCTAAATGTACCAGTCACCAGCAGTTTTGCTACCCGTTATCGAAGGGCGGTACAACAAACTTTCACCTTGTATAAGGATGAGAGAAGTCATCTCGATAACTGATTAAGGAAATGACTCGGTCCACAAGGAGTTTGAAGAATATGTTTTGTTTTATTTTTTTCTATCTGTTTGGCACAAAAAGCACGTGGAATTTTTTTTATGTGCCACTGCACAATTTTTCCCCTGTAATTTCTGATATGCAATTATGCAATTTCTGATAAGCAATTATGTTTATCCCTTCCGTAAATTGCTGATTATTTTTAATGATTAAGTTTAGCCAGGAGCAATCGGCAGTCGGCTTCTGGTTAAACCTAAAAATTCTTAGAATGTTTAAAACTAATTTTATAAATAAAATTTCTCTTTACTTTTTTCCCACCATATCTGCATACATTTTTTAATGAGTGTTTGCGCTCCCTCTCCATGGCCTTATCAGCAACTCATAAACATGCATGACCACTTCACTTATTGCGTGACGTTAGCTAAACAAACATTCCTTGAAGGAGGCTTTAGCTCAAGCGTTCAGCACGGGATATTAAACCGTTGGTAAATGGTGTTTAATAAGAGTTCAAACAGGAGATCAAGGAAAATGCTTTGAAATTTACGGTAAAACAGACTTATTTCAATCATAAATGCTCTTGCTAACATTTTAGATCATGGGACAGAAATAGAACATTCGAGTTGGTTGCTTGTAAGCGATACTGATTTTAATTGTCGAGATGGCGAAATTCAAAGATAAAATATACTCGAAACCAGATATTTTGAATGTCAGATGAGTATAAAGTTTTTCGTCATTTCTTCTGTAGTTTAGGGGTGAAAAACGCTAAAACCAAGGAGAAATATCCAAGGTTTTTTGTTATTTACGTGAAGGAATGTTTCACTTGTTTACACAGTTTATGCTGTGATAATATCCGGATTTTAGAGCGTTATTACTCGCTTCTGATAAAGAGCCCGAAAATATTTTTTATACCTGGCTAGAGAACAACATTTCGTATTGTAAAAAATACTAACTTCAAAGCGATTGGCGTTTTACCGGATAGGGAAATCATACGGTGAAAAAGAGCGCCGAATTAAGAATTCCGGGCAAGCGAATTTTGGTAATTTTCGGCGGCCCGCCGAGACTTTGAAAATCAATCCAAATTAGTTTAACTGGTCTAAAATGTCTTACTAAGTGTTAAACATTTCATTTTCATGCTCCAAACAGGGTTAAGACTGACGCCAATGAAACAGAGCGAAGTTTAGTGGAAGGTATGCTGCACGTTAATTTTGGGTGTTTTTCCGAAAACCTGGGGCATTAACGGTTTTTTTTTTTTGTGGCGTTAATAAAAATATTTTTAGAAAAAAAAACCCACCACGTTTCTAAGCTCACCATAGGGTATCTTTGGACGAAATATGGAGGAAATTTATTTTTCATCATGTGCCACGAATTCTCGATCCGGCTCGATCTTAGTGCACATTCCCTCTTAATATCAAAAGAGTGACGTGTAAAAAGGTTCAAGTTTTCTACTTAGTTGTAACGATACAATGCGCTGTGAACAAATTCAGCTGTTTTTTTCTTTCTTTTTAATAAACTGAATTAAACGGTTGAACTAATCCTGTTATTAGTTTTCATTCTAAGATGACGGCTTCAGTTTCATTTCAGTAAATTTTAGTGAAAGAGAACCTCTGAAGGGATACCACCGGACTCCGCGGTCATCCTGTTTGTTTCCAAGGTGTTTTCCATTTAAATTGGATTCGTGGCAATTACTGTACCACCAGGCACCCTTCCAACTCACAGCACATGAGGAGTAAGATAAAATGTCATGATCTCGGTCTTTTGTGCTAAACGCCATCCTATTATGACTGCTTACTAGGGAATCGCCCGCCCTCCCTGAATATGAACCCACTTCAAGTCGATGCTTCGCCTGCTCATCACCAATGTTAAACTTGCCATATTTGGCATACACTCTTGCTCCATTCCAGTCCTCTAGCTCTACTCGTAGTGTGTTGAGTCTAGCTGTCGTCAGCCTGTGGATCTTGTCGTTTCCTAACCAGAACTCAGCCGTCAGCTGACCAAAGCCTGATTTGTAATCGTTCCAGCCGCGATAGAAGTCCACCGAGCCATCTTGTCTTCTCTGGAACACTGTCCACCCTCCACCATCAGTGCGCATGTCACAATATACATTGAAGGATCCTTTTCCGTCTGGGTTCACAGAGTACACTCCACTCTGAGTATGGCCTGACTTTAGCAGATCAGAGCAGTCTAACAAGAGTAACAAAAAACAATTCAAGAAGAAATCAAAAATCCCCCAAAGCAGATGCACAAGACTGCTTACTATTACCGTTCGAAAGAAGGACAGAAACGAAACTTATGAAGTCAGTTCCTTAAGAGCCAATGTCTGTAATTTTCGAAAATCGGTTGATAGTCGTGAAGTTTTGACTTTCTTTATATATTGCCCAAATAATCTCTATAGTATACTTATTTAAAAAATCACATTAAAACTTGTAACGGCTTCCTATATTTTCAGAAATCGGGCGAAGTTTGAAAAACGCTAAATCGGCGCTCTTTCGAGTATGAAATTAGCGAAAATTGAGCATTTTCATCCGCGCTCCGGCGTACATGAAAAAAGACTATCAGAATTTCTCTAAATGAAATCCGTCGCAAAACAAACACAGACTTGTTAAAATGCAGTGTGTCGGCCGCAAGAAGAAACACGGTTCAGGACTCAAAAGGTGTCTCTGGCTAGCTAGCTTGTGGATTAAGTATTTTAGAAATGAAAGCTGATAATCAACTTGCAATAAAAACATATGAGAAGGGGCTTGGACTTTTCTGGCTATTCCATCATTCCAGGGAACATATGTACAGTAGGTGCCTACTACCTCCTTGGGGCAACATTGTTTACTTGCTGCAGTATTGAGTTTCCTGTCTTAAGACAGTGGCTTTTGCCCACTTCCCTGTCTAGTCACTTTCATTATTGTTATGCCTTCAATTAATTCTATTATTTTAGCAAAGATTTTATCTATACGCGCGCGCTGTTCAATTTGTTTAGAAATGTCATGAATTACCGTAATTTACGAAAAATAGTTTGAACTCAATTCGATTGCATAAGCAAAAATTACCCTGAAAATAGTGAACTAAACTATTCTACTAGGTAAAGAATTTGAAATAGTATATATTTCGAGATACTGAAGTTCGTTTTTCTGTCCGAAGTTGCGAGCAGGTCATTTTGCGTAAAATTTAGTGGTCTTATAAGTGAAATTAGAATCCTCGAAAAATCATGATTAAAGTCCGCGAATATTCAACGTACATGTTCATTTTTGGATTTTTTTTTTAAAGCTTAGGAAGTCTACTTTTTTTTTTCATAAACACGCAAACGGCTCGTACAGCAGTGCTGTAGTAAGGAGTTTTCAGTATTTATGGTCAGCGGTTGTTACCATTTTGCTTAGGACTCGTGTTAGTTGCCGCCATGTTCTTGTTTATCACATCACAGGTAACCCAGGTTCTGTGATAGTGCCACAGTACCCTTGCAGTAAAATTACAGTGTTTGTATGGGGTAAAAATACCACCCTAAAATTTTTCTAGGAAATACTAAATGAAGATTAATGAAACTTACTCTGTAGTTAATTGTTGTTGTCCTTATTGCTCCAACGAAGTTTCGTGATAATTTGCAGTAATTTGTTCAAATTCATTCTATCAACAATAATAATATACAAGGTAGGAAACACGAGATGCCATTTTCACCGACATGCTCTCATTCAACACAACTTTTTCCACGAAATTCGAACTCCAAAGGAAAATAGACATGCCAGGATCGTAGAAATAGGATAGCAGCAGATATAGAAACCAATGAAGCTTTCCCAGATAGAGAAACGAATCCCACAGACTTTGACAAACTCGAAGAATATAATCCAAACACACCGAGAATACGCTCGCCGAAGCAGCCGGGCCAGATCAACGCGCGGCCAAGAAAATGAAGCCTGGGCACTGTACAAAAAAATTCCATCCCGGGGGTCCTGGGGTGACCTTTCTAGGGACCGATACATCATTTGCCCAAGGCCACCCTCCCCTGCTGGAAAAATACTTGATAGAAGGCAATTGTCCTTCCTAGCCAATCACCATTTGCCAGAGCAAACCCCGCACACGCGCCTGAATTTAAATGGATAAAAAAAAGTAATATAATCAGGAGAGTCTGCGGAGTTACAAGGCGTCCCATTTCTTTTACTAAGGAATGCAAATAACAGTAATGAAACTAATGAAATAACAACGCGAAATGCTTACAAGGCGGGCTAAAAACAAGGTTGAACAAAAGGTAGATGATGACTGAGATACTGTTGCTGTGAACTCTCGAGCGAAACTATCGTAAATAAACGTTGAAGCTTACAAACTAATGTCAAAAATTATACAGAAAATTGCGACAGAATATGAATTGCGATAACTGAGACGAATGTGAAAGCCACGTGCACTAGTAAACAAAGAACTAGCGCGATTAACATATTTAGCGATTAATGCGGCAGTAACACGCCGACTTCTTGTCAATACAAGTGAACGCTCTATCGGCATCGTGAGACACCTCTCTTTGAATTTGATCCTGTTGTACAAATGCCTCGGTAAGAGCCAAAATTCACTTATATCTTTTGCTCGTTTTAAGTTTTGTAAATCGTCCTTCGTTGTTCTTTCCTTTGCCCTTATAACCTTGCCCTATTGATGTTTGATAAACTTTCTGAGGACCAGCGCCAGGAGCTGAATATAGTTCGAGAGGAAAATAATCTCTTTATAACAGGCCATAGTGATTGGCTAGGAAGAACAATTGCCTTCTATCAAGTATTTTTCCAGCAGGGGAGGGTGGCCTTGGGCAAATGATGTATCGGTCCCTAGAAAGGTCACCCCAGGACCCCCGGGATGGAATTTTTTTGTACAGTGCCCAGGCTTCATTTTCTTGGCCGCGCGTTGATCTGGCCCGGCTGCTTCGGCGAGCGTATTCTCGGTGTGTTTGGATTATATTCTTCGAGTTTGTCAAAGTCTGTGGGATTCGTTTCTCTATCTGGGAAAGCTTCATTGGTTTCTATATCTGCTGCTATCCTATTTCTACGATCCTGGCATGTCTATTTTCCGTTGGAGTTCGAATTTCGTGGAAAAAGTTGTGTTGAATGAGAGCATGTCGGTGAAAATGGCATCTCGTGTTTCCTACCTTGTATATTATTATTGTATTTAGAGTGAATTTGAACAAATTACTGCAAATTGTCACGAAACTTCGTTGGAGCAATAAGGACAACAACAATTAACTGCAGAGTAAGTTTCATTGATCTTTATTTAGCATTTCCTAGAAATTTTAGGGTGGTATTTTTACCCGATACAAACACTGTAATTTTACTGGAAGGGTACTGTGGCACTATCACAGAGCCTGGGTTACCTGTGATCACATGTGTGATTTAGGTTTACAATCCATGTAATCCTTCGCTCATCCGTATCGTGTAAGGCAGACTTAGTTGTTATCTGAAGAACTGAAGAGTTAAAGATTATTTGGAGATAAATGAAAAGATCTGAAGATTTAAGTTTTTCTCTTTTTCTTGTGAATAACAACGAAACTCCTTCGGATGCCAAGTACGACTTTCGAGGGAAGCCAAAACTTGTTCGTTCGAAAACAATTCCTTCTCTGTTCTTCATTACGTCATAAAAGTTACTTACACTACCTTGTTACATCGCTCGATTCGAGATTCATTATCGGCCTTGGAACTTTCGCGCACGGCTTTATTAGGCGCCTCGCAGCCTCGCATCTTCGCGAGGCTGCTCGTTGGCAATTAACTCAAAGGCTTAAATCTTTTTCTAAGCTCGTCCTCTAATTCTGGAACAGGTTAACTAAAAGGGACAACTACTAGAGTAAAGATCAATAAAATAAACACTTTTTCGCGAGATTATTATGAAAGTTACTTAGATCTTTTTAGACTAATCAGGCATGTTGAAACTAGATAAATAGATAGAGGGCAAGGTTCCTTACTCTAAATTAATGTGTTCCCAAAACAAAAAGCTTAAGTAAACATAAGATTAATAATAAACCTTAAGTTTTCTAATATGAATTGCCAAAAGGTAAAAGTGGCCATTATAAAGATAATTACTATTTTCTGCTAAGGAACGTCAAGTTTGGAGACAGGATGTCCAACTCTCAAAAAGCTACTTTCAATATTTATTCTTCTAAATAGAAAGCTTATCAGTAAATCGGTTATTTGTCATCTTCATTCTTAATACTGGGTAAATACTTGGATTTTCCCAGAACCTAACAGAGATTTATCGGACTTTCATCAAAGTGTCATGTATTTTTAAAATCGAGGAGGTCAGTTGACTCAGAGTGATTAAAAGTAAAGGCAGTAATAATATCTCGGTACTTTTCACCACCGCCTGGTTAGCTCAGTTGGAAGAGCACGGGTTCAAACCCCTGCTGGACCAACACTCAGGGTCTTTAAGCAACTGAGAAGAAAGTGCTGCCTTGGTAAAGACATCTGGAAACTAGAGTTAGTCTTTCTAGACTTCAGGGATAAGGACGAAAATTGTGGGACGTAACAAAAAACCTACACCACTGTTCCGAAACTGAGTAGAGGACGTAGACCCCGTTGGTGTGGCCAGCCTTTCCATGGGCTGGGTGGGTTATCTGTAAGTTAGATCTCTTTATAGTATAACTTCATGATCCTCCTTCGGATGTCGTAATAGCTACCTGTACAACAGTGCATGTATGTATTTACTTATTTAGCAAACAAATACTTTATGGTTGGCTCGCCTGTTAGATACTTGCCCTGCTCATATCTATATGTACGATGCCTGATCGCAGGTAAAACGAGAGTGATCGCAGCGATCGAAAAACTTTACGATTCTTCTTAGTTCGTGGATGAAAATTATTCCCGCTCAACAACAATGAAGTAATCTATAAAAAAGCTGATAATCCCAGGATGATCGTCTTTATAGGTATAAACCTTTGGCTATCAAATACTTTGGCAGTCCATCCCAGTGATATATTCACTACTTTCAGCGCCTTAATCCGTAAATCATGTTTCGGTGCAGTAAGGGAGAAGTAAAATACACCGTACCTGGTCAATAACCGGAAAAATATATTCTTTTTTTACTCGAATCGTTTATTTTTTTATTTGGGTCACTCACTAGACGACTGACTAGCGTTATAAAATTTCTTTCACACTCAGTGTCATCTGAGTCAGAAAGTTATCAAACGAGTATATTAAGGCACTATGAAGCAAGTATACTGATTTTTTATTTACCTCTAGCTTTAACCTCAATCACGATGGTAGTTTCCACGTAGGAAAACCCTGCACTTGTTGCAGTACAAATGTAACTCCCTGCATCTTCCTCTTTGGTGTCCCTGATAACTAACGCATCATTGATATGCTGGCTTCGTCCAACTGGAAGTTGTTGTCCTGGTTTTTTCGAGCTTATGACTGGCTGAGGATTCCCAGTAGCAGAGCAGTTTAAAGTTAAAGTTTGGCCAATCGACACGGTAAGGTTTGCCGGTGGCTGTACAGTGAATTGAGGGAGGGAGACTACATTTAACTGAGTTCTTTTTACAATACTTCCTAACAGGTTCGTTGCAGTGCAGAGGTAGTTATCAGAATCAATTTTACGGGCACCAACAATTTTGATGACGCTGTTGTTACTCTGTATCCTTCCTTGGGGCAGCTGACCAAATGATCTGCTCCANTTTCACACTCAGTGTCATCTGAGTCAGAAAGTTATCAAACGAGTATATTAAGGCACTATGAAGCAAGTATACTGATTTTTTATTTACCTCTAGCTTTAACCTCAATCACGATGGTAGTTTCCACGTAGGAAAACCCTGCACTTGTTGCAGTACAAATGTAACTCCCTGCATCTTCCTCTTTGGTGTCCCTGATAACTAACGCATCATTGATATGCTGGCTTCGTCCAACTGGAAGTTGTTGTCCTGGTTTTTTCGAGCTTATGACTGGCTGAGGATTCCCAGTAGCAGAGCAGTTTAAAGTTAAAGTTTGGCCAATCGACACGGTAAGGTTTGCCGGTGGCTGTACAGTGAATTGAGGGAGGGAGACTACATTTAACTGAGTTCTTTTTACAATACTTCCTAACAGGTTCGTTGCAGTGCAGAGGTAGTTATCAGAATCAATTTTACGGGCACCAACAATTTTGATGACGCTGTTGTTACTCTGTATCCTTCCTTGGGGCAGCTGACCAAATGATCTGCTCCACGTGACCACTGGTGTGGGATGCCCAGTAACGTGACATACAGGAAGAATGGCGTTACTTCCTTCAACAACATAATGAGGTCCCGGATCAAGAGATATGGATGGATGAACTGTAAACAGAGAAGATGAATTTTTCTGCTAACATGCAAAAGACTAAATTGACTTCCTGGACTAACGACTTCAGTGGATTCGGACGCTATATTTGAACCGGAAAGGTGTTGCGTAACTAATAATTGTACCTGCTCAAACAATATTTTGCTTTTTTGTTAAAAAGCCGCTTCTCCAGACAGCGGGCGGTAAAAATCCTTTCCAGATGGTAGTACCTACAATTAGCCCTTTATTAACACAGCTTATTATTCATTCAAAATATTTCCCCAATTCTTATTGGCTAAAAGCACACGCATAATTCACCATAATCAGCTAGTGATGACCAAATTTGGAAGAATTTTGCGATTAATGAACCGATGATGACGTCAAAAGTGCAGCTTCCTTGTAGGTTAATGCGCCGTTAACCGAGAAGACCTGGGGACGAGGTTGAGTTGCTTTGGTTGTAAAAACAAAAATGGCGGACATTTTACTCGTTTCAAGAGTAAGAACTAGGCGAAATAGTAGCTAAAAACATGGCAAGAACAGCAAGAAGACACCTTGAAGGGCGACATCTGCTATGTGGAGAATATTTGCGGAGCTGAACAACCTTAAACGTGCACTAACGAAGATAAGACAAACTTAAAGCAAGGGGCACACACACACACCAACCCAAGGCCTGGCCAGTACCTCATGCGCACAGCCATATCAACCGGGAAGTGGCAGCCATGGACAGCTGTTTCTCCCTTATTGGGGCGCATCAGCATGGCATAGCTGTCGGATCAATGAACGAGGAAACTCCACTGCCCGGGTGACATGGCTGTGCGCCTGCGTGAGGTACTGGCCAGGCCGTGGGTTGGTGTATGTGTGGCCCTTGCTTTAAGTTTGTCTTTACTATCGAACTTAAAATCGATGGAGGTAAGGATGTTTTAGCTATGTTTTCAAACTAGGAATTATTTTGAATGAATGATAAAATTAAACAATTATTGAATTCGGCTTTCGCATCATAATTCCATAATTCTTCATACGAAACTCAGCGTCATTCATTAATTGTTAATTTAAATCTACCTTGCGTTTCGCGAAAAATTTAATCAGCAGCTAAATAGTGCAAGAACTGCAACAAACGATAATTTCTGTCCTTAGACATTTGATTAGGAAACAAAAATCAAGGATGTTACATATGTCTTGGGAATAAAAAAAAAAAAGAAAGAAAAATGTAAAATCTTTCTTCCGGATAAAATTTACTTTTTCCTCCCTTATCTTAAGCTAAGTCCATGCAATAAGATAATAACAAATAAATCCTCTAAAACATATATTAACTTACCATTCACCGCAAGCTGACCCACTGCGTACACCTGCCCCAAGATGTTTATCGCTGAACATTTGTACACACCCGCATCACTCCCCTTCAAGTTCTGTAAACTCAAAGTCTCTCCTGAAACCATTGACTGGCTAATATTTGTTTGACTGTTCAATTTACTCCAAACTACTGTAGGTTTAGGATAACTAATAACTGAACACTTAAACGTGGCTGATCCAGTTTCGTTTATAGTCGATCTTGCAGGAGAAACAGCAACGGAAGGTGCTGAAATTGATTCACCAGGCTCTCCTTTAGATCCCGGCATGCCTGCAGGCCCAATGTCTCCTTTTTGTCCTTTCGGACCTGTTACGCCAGGTGATCCAATAGGTCCCACGATGCCTTGCTTGCCACTTTTTCCTGGTGATCCCATAATTCCTTGATCTCCTTTGTTTCCTTGTTTCCCTCTCTGTCCTCTTCGTCCCCGGGTTCCTTTCTCTCCTCTCGGTCCGGGTGGACCTGGAAGGCCTGGAGGTCCTGGTGAACACATGACACCCTTTGATTGACAGATGTGCGGTTTTAACTCTGATATAAGTTTGCTTATTTTAAGCGTCGTATTCACTTTATCAACCTGACGTTTGCTTCTGTGGAGCTCAAGCGACTGAAGCTCTAAAAAGAAGAGAAACAACCTTTATTGTCATGTTCAACCCTCATAGTAAAAAGAAGACTGTACAGTATAAACTTTACAATTCATCGAGTGGGAGCTAGTTACTACCAGTATGACGATTGACGGCGTTACGGGGTAAATAATCAGACAAGATCCACAGGTTGACGGCAGCTAGACCCAACACTCTACGAGTGGAGCTAGAGGACTGGAATGGAGTAAGAGTGTATGCCAAATATGGAAAGTTTAACATTGGTGATGAGCAGGCGAAGTATCGACTTGAAGTGGGTTCATATTCAGGGACAGCGGGAGATTCGTTAGCATATCATAATAAGATGGCGTTTAGCACCAAAGACAGAGATAATGACATTGACTCTCGTAACTGCGCTGTGGACTACACCGGTGCCTGGTGGTACACGAATTGCCACGATTCCAATTTAAATGGAAAATACCTGAGAAACAAACGTGATAACCGCGGAGCCAGGTGGTATCACTTCAGAGGTTCTCTTTCACTTAAATTTACTGAAATGAAACTGAGACCGTCATCTTAGAATGAAAATCAGTAACAGGACTAGTTCAACCTTTTAATTCAGTTCATTTTTATTTTAAAAGCTGAATTTGTTCACAGCGCACTGTATCGTTACAACTAAGAGGAAAAGCAACTTTTTACCCGCCCCTTCTGATTGAGTACTTATAGGTGTCGTATAGGTACTAAANGACAAGATCCACAGGCTGACGGCAGCTAGACCCAACACTCTACGAGTGGAGCTAGAGGACTGGAATGGAGTAAGAGTGTATGCCAAATATGGAAAGTTTAACATTGGTGATGAGCAGGCGAAGTATCGACTTGAAGTGGGTTCATATTCAGGGACAGCGGGAGATTCGTTAGCATATCATAATAAGATGGCGTTTAGCACCAAAGACAGAGATAATGACATTGACTCTCGTAACTGCGCTGTGGACTACACCGGTGCCTGGTGGTACACGAATTGCCACGATTCCAATTTAAATGGAAAATACCTGAGAAACAAACGTGATAACCGCGGAGCCAGGTGGTATCACTTCAGAGGTTCTCTTTCACTTAAATTTACTGAAATGAAACTGAGACCGTCATCTTAGAATGAAAATCAGTAACAGGACTAATTCAACCTTTTAATTCAGTTCATTTTTATTTTAAAAGCTGAATTTGTTCACAGCGCACTGTATCGTTACAACTAAGAGGAAAAGCAACTTTTTACCCGCCCCTTCTGATTGAGTACTTATAGGTGTCGTATAGGTACTAAAAGAGAAATTGTCCAGAGGAATAGAATGTATTCCCAACCCCTTTTGTGGAGAAATCCTTTGCATTTGCTTCGTAACGTAAAGTAAGAGAAAAGAAAAGCAAGTTGGCGGGAGGTTTGAGTTTATACCGTATCGTTACCGAGGGTGTAACATCAAAGCACAAGCAAAGGCATCAATGATGTTTATGTCAGTTTGATTGGAGGATTGAAGAAGCTTCCTTTCTGCACTTTACTTTGAGCAGTGATTCTTTACAGGAATTTCGTTGTTTTCAGAAAATCACGAAAATCTTATACACCGAAAATTAAGTGTCTCTCTTTTCTGTCAGTGCATCATTTAATTTGTTTTCCGACCGCTCAGCGTCAAGTCTCTGTTTATCAAGGAAGGATATCCATTCACAAGGAAAAGGAGAAAGCGGGAATCAAAGGCGTTGTTTCTAGCAAGGGTTTATTTCTTCAGTTCGCCTATGGAATGTAGGCGTCGACGTTTCGTGTACTGAAGGACAGTTTACATTATCTCCATTCATCTTGTTCTGTATAAGCTTACGACCTGGGAACTGAAGTTCAGAATACTGCTCCTTTACTTCACCCAAGTTACCGTTTGTTTCAGTTGTGAAATCTCTCAGAAGATGGACCTTAACATATACAGTTGACCCTCTCTACCACGGCCACCTTGGAGAGAGAAGAAAGTGGCCGTTGTAGAGAGGTGTCCGTTAGCGGAGGATTGACTATATTGGAGGAAATCACGAGATATGACCATCATAATCCTCTCGGATTAAAGCCGTTAAGCAGCCTTAACTTATAAGAAATTTTGTCCCTTTACAAGAAAACTTGTCAACCACTAATATAAAAATAATTACAACTATACTTTAAAAAAGTTATTGTGGCTCGTCACAAAAAAGGTCCGTGCATTAGATATATTTTCAATAGAGGATGAACTTTACTGTTTAGTTTGTAGGAAATAGTTACACACCTGGCCTACTTACCATTTACATGGAAAAACCGGAAATTCCAGTTTGAAAAACAAATTGTTCGCGCTATATCCTTTTGGGAAGCTTCAGAAAATATGGGCTGTGATTTGTCGCGATGCAGGTTTCCTGCTCTTTTTAGTCCGTTCAGCTGAATTGGATATACCTTGTAGTAGGACGTTCTCCCCCCATGTCAAATTCTACAGCTTTATATACGTTTATGCACAAGATTTCCATCCGGGTGGTTTGTGTAAATGGTAACTGCACCTTTGTAACACTCCTTAGCCTACTCAAAGATTATACGAAAAGGACAAACACTGGTTGTTAACGTCTACTAAGGGGCTTTATTTATACTCATTGTTTGTTAATTTGCACAATTTTAACTTGAGTATCTAAGCAGCGTCAAGTACAAAAACATACTAAATTTTAGTTCCGTGTTTTTCGAGAATACAAAATCAAATGTTTTGTAAGAGGTTTGTGGTACAAAAAGCCCTTCCTTAAGTTAAGGTTGACAGTAAATCACTTAAAACAACAGCCTAGTCCCTAGGCGTTCTCGGCTCGGTCAATCCTGGACTCTACCATGAGCTGTGACGTCACCGAGAGATACGAGCCCGCTCTTTTCCAGACTTCGCGCGGACAACGGACCAAGAGAGAACGCCTAGGGACTAGGCAGTTAAAACAACTCTTCTGTTCTAGAATAGACCATTTTACAGTTACGGGTAGAAACGAGGCTGAACAACCCTTCCTGCTTTAAATCATGTTGTTCTTATACTAACTACAGTGTATTGTTTTTCGACGTAATTTCCGCAAAAAAAGGTAAGAGGTTTGTATCAAAATAAGGTCAACCTCGGCCTCGCGTTGACTTAAAGGCTAGGAAACCAAGCTTACGACTGCAAAATGGTCCTCCATTTCTTCGGGCGATGCGTTTTACAAACCCACTGGCGTTGTCAATCAAATCGTTTATATCGAAAATTGCGGAGGGCAATTCAAGGTTAAAAGCACAAATGTAATTTACAACTTAGGTCAAATATCGTATTAAAATACTTCAAGTTGTGTCCATCTAATTCACTGTTAATTTTCTTGTTTTTCTCTGGGAGCTGGTGAGGGCAAGTACTTTAAAAATATCGTTAATCATGATCAGATAGAGCTTGTAGTAAATTGAAGATCCTCACTACAGCTTATATAATAAAATCATCGGATACTAAATAGCGGCACTTAAGTTTAAATGCTGTTAGCGTTAAGTACAACGAAACACACTAATATTCCAGCAAAATCTGCCCGAACACCTTCTATAGCAAATTCGGAAACACCAGGCACATTTTGTTCCTGTAAAATAACGCAATAAAAAGGTCTGTTAGTATTGCCGTCATGATGTTGTTAGTCACATTATTTTCAGGTGAAATCCGTTTGATTCAGTTTCGGTCTGAAGTGCAGTGAAGTGTCAGGAATAAGTGGTGTTTTACAGTGGTGGATCCAGACCTTCAGATAATGGGGTAGGGAGGGGGGGCGGTCATCCACACCCTGAGATAAGGGAGGGGGGCGGTCTCCAATTTTTTTTTCGGCCGTTCGGGCCTCAGTTTCGTCTAGAAATAAGGGGAATGGGGGGGGAGGGGGCCGTCCCCTCCCCTGGATCCGCCACTGTTTAATGTTTTCATAAACTGCCTTCGGTTGTTGTTGTGCCAGTTTTTCTTGATGTTGCTGTTTCCAATAGTTTTATTGATAATGTTGTCAAATGGTCTTCAGAAAATTCTTACTGACCTTAACTCCTTCTTCACAGCATTACAGTTCAACTTACTTTAGACTTAAAGGTTTTTCTGTTTGATGAGGTGAATGGGCAGGTTAGCGCACACGGCGGCCATTTCATCACTTAGGAACGAACGATCATCGAGAGTACCAACAAACGCATATTCATTTTCCTCTTGTGTCTCTACCTGACTGCTATTCTGGTTCGACTGCTGTAGGGAAGATAGAAAGACGTTTAAAGGTACTGTATCAGGGTTTTTATTTTGTTAAGAAATTGAGAATGACAACATCACAGCATTGTATAAAACATATATGTCTCTCTAGTATCATATCAAACGT